CTTTTACTTTTAATCTTTTTCTGTCTGTATACTTACTGAGATTCTTATAGACTGCACACAGTTGATTCTTGATTCTTTACTTAATCTAATAATCTTTGCCTTGTTACAAGATTGTTTAGGTCACATATATTTTATGGGATAATTCAATATTGTGTGTTTAAATATATCATCTTTATAATTGTTTCCATCTGCCTTATCTTTACTTTGTTCCTATTTCATTTTTTGCCCTCTTTTACGCTGAGTATTTTTATAATTCCATTTTATTTCCTTTCCAGGTTTATTAGTTCTAATTCCTTTTTGTGCTATTTTAGTGGGTCCATTTAACTCAGTCTATTTTCAAGTAATATTATGTCACTCCGCATATAATATTCTCAGAGCTCCCTGAGTTCAATACTCAGTACTACCAAAAATACTCAGTACTCAATACTCAGTACTACCAAAAAAAAAAGTCAGTGGAGCTGGAGGTGTAGCTCAGTGGTTGAGCGTTTATCCAGCATATGCAAGCCCCTGGGTACCTTCCCCAGCCCTGAAAAAAAAAAAATCAACCATGTTTTGTTTTGCACTACTGAAAGACTGAATCCAGGACCTCTATACTGGGCTATATCCCCAGCCCTTTTTCATGTGTATGAGTGGTACTGAGGATTGAACCCAGGGCCTTCACACTGACCTTTATCCACAGCCCTTTTAAAATTTTGTATTTTGAATTGGGGTCTTGCTAAGTCACTAAATTGTCTAGGCTGGCCTCAAACTTTCAATCCTCCCACCTCAGCTCCCCAGAGTGTACGCCACCATGCCTAGCTCCAACTTTGTGTGTGTGTGTGTACCTGGAATCAAACTCAGGACCCTGCACTTGCCAGGCAGGCACTGCACCACTGAGCTGGCCCCTCAACTGTGTTTTAGGGGGTTTAAATAAGAAAATGTCTTTATATTTACCCATGTAGTTACCATTTCTAGTACTCTTTATTCCATTATAGAGGTCCAACTTTCTATTTGGTATCATTTTCTTTCTGCTTACAGGATTTCCATCACATTTATTGTCTGCTGATAATGAATTATTTCATATTTTGTATGTAAGAAAAAAATATTTATTTCATTTTGTTTTTAAAGATATTTTGCTGAGCAAAGAACTGTAAATCAAGAGGTTCATTTTGGTTTTTTTCCCAATACTGTAATGATACTGCTCTATTTTCTTCTAATTTACACTGCTTCCAATGAGAAATTTGCTATACTCCTTACTGTTTCTTCTTTGTATATAATATGGAGATTCCCCCCTCCACCACTTTTCAGATTTTCTCTTTACCACAAGTTTTCACTAATTTAATTATTAAGTGGCTTAGAGTCACTTTATGTTCCCTGGGCCTGGAGTCCATTGAGGTTCCTAGGTATAGGTTCACAGATTTCATTAGATTTGGAAAAATTTCAACCAATCTTCATACATATTTTTTGTTCTTCCACCCCCTCTTCTTTTTTAGATTCACCAATTACATGTGTATTAAGCTACTTGAAAATTGTGCCACAGCTCACTGACACACGATTTATTTATTTATAGTCTTTTTTAACTTCTGTGTTTTATTTCAGATAGTTTCTATTGCTACATGTTTTTCCTTCAGTGTTTAATACCATTAATACTATTCAGTATAATTTTCATCTCAGACATTGTAGTTTCATCTTTAAATGTTCCTTGGGCCTGGGCCTTGGGCCTTTTAAAATACCTTCCATAGCCCTGAGTTTGATTCCAGGAGTGTCTTTCCTCTAGCTTCTGGAAAAATGGAACATAGCTGTGATAACTGTTTTATGAGAGACAATGCAGTGGTTCCACTTAAAGGAAAAACTCTCATAAAATGACAGTCAAGGATCTAAAGGAGCTTCCACTTCTCCAGTTCAGTCAATAGTAGCAGGATCGGTTTGGGCGCTTCCAACATAATGAATAAAGGAGATATCAACAACCTATCAGTGACTGCCACGGCACTGTTTAATGCTGCCACTTTTATGTAGACACTAAAGAATGATTTATTATCATATTTTAGCCCAAACTGGTTATATTCCTCTCTTCAACAGGCACTATGATGAATGTAATTTTCAATGGGAATAGCTTAAAATATTGCAAAGGGTAAGCCAACTGAATGCCTTAAAAGTAGTACCCACTGGTCAGATGGCAATCTTTCTTCAGTATTATTTATGGTTGCACTTGATTAAAGTTCTGTGGGGCTTAAACCTTACCTGCCTTGGCAAGCCTCTTGTGACACAGTAGCAGGGACATAACACTATGCATTATAAGGATTTTTTTTGGTAATGAGTTTAATCCCTCTCTCCCAAAAGGAAAGCCAATTAAATGTGATCAAATAATTCTCTCAGCTCCGTGTTCATTCTTTTAACAGTGGTCCACAAACTTAATTCTGTCCATGATTCTGGTCAAAAACTGAATTGGATGACAACTGAATCAAATTCAGTGGTTAGGTTCAATGCTGATCTTGTGGGCAACTTTGATTTGGTTCTCGTCCAATTCAGTTTATGACCAAAATTGTGGAAAGAATTAAGTTCATGAACTGAGGAGGTACTTCTGTAGTTGTATATCTTCTTAAAAGAAATCGCTGTCATTAATGTCTTTTTGTTTTCCATTGAGTGTACATACACAACTGAGTAAGTGTAGGAGTTTTCGCTTTATTGTGTGAGTACTGAAAGATTAAAGATATCTTGAGGACTGGTGCTGGGGGATTGATAGCTCAGTGGCAGAATATTTGCTTAGCATATGAAAGGTTCTAAGTTTGAGCCTCAACACTGCAAAAAATGAGATTTTTAAAAGATATTTTAATATCAAGATGGTAATTTCTCTATAAAAGATCAGAAAAATGGAAGATTGTTCTTGAAATCAAACTCCCAGCCTTCACAAAATGGCTACATTGCAATAAAAATTGTGGCATATTAAAATAATAATAATAACTGCCTAATGTCTTTATTCTTTTTTGAGATAGCGTTTTTGCTATGTAGTTCAGGCTGGCCTCAAACTTGCCTCAGCTTCACAACTGCTGGAATTACACATGTGTGACACCACACCTGGCTTGTCTTTGCTAATTTTATCTGCTATATCAGTTCTGGATCCGTTTTGATTAAATTTTCCCATTGTGGGTTGCTTTTTCTTACTTCTTAGCAAAACTATTAATTTTTTATGAGACACAGGGATCTATGAATATTACTTGGTAAGTTCTGGGTATTGTTATATTCCCATATTCTTATAAATATTTAATTGATCATTTGTTTGGTAATGGCACTGAATTACTTTCAATCAGTTTGATCCTTTTGGGCCTTGCTTCTGCTTTCAAGCTTTGTTAGGACAGGACCAGAGTATTATTGTAGTTTTAATTTTTCTCCACTCCTGAGATAATACCCTTCTTAGTATTCTGCCTGATACTCCATGAACTATGATGTTTTCCTCTCTGGACAGTGAGAACAGTCACTGTTTCTAGCTCTGTGCAAGCTTTCCTTGTTGTTCCTTTAATCCTTTCTGAGTGGATCTTTACAGTGGATAGTCTCCTCACAGATATGAACTGATTAGCATTTAAATGAATAGTAGAGGGGGAACTCAACTGCAGATCTCCAGCCTATTCTGTGTCCAATCATATTATTCCTGGAAACTTTAGCTGCCTTAGCATCTGCTACGGTTTGCTCTCCAGAGGCTCATATGCCAGGCTTGTTCCCTAATGTGACAGAAATGAAAGTGCTGTGACCTTTAAGAGGTAGCACCTACTAGGAGATGATTTGGTTATGACTGCTTCAGTGAGACCAGCCATTAATGTTCTCATGAAATGGGTCGCATCTCCTACGAATGGATTAGAGCCTAGCCTTCCCCCTCAACCTTGTTTCTTCCCTCAGACACTGGTATCATGCTGTCTGGACTTGTAGTCACAAGAATCATGAGCCAAATAAAACCTCTTTTCTTTATAAGGTATCTAGCCATAGGTATTTTGGTACAGAAACACAAGCTGGACTGAGACAGCATCCCTGGATTCCCCACTCTACCCGTTCAACTTAGGGAGACCACTGGCTTTGCCTAAACTCCCTCTCCTTTTTCCACAGCTTTCATACTTTCTCTTAGGTGGTATGCCAGGGCAATCATCATTCTGTTTGATGAAGCAAAGAATATTTGCTTTTTATCACTTAGAAATGACCATTCCATTTGTTGCCTGATGTCCAATATCTTCAAGCCACTGTTTCCTATACTATGTCCAAAATTTTTGTTATTTCAGCCAGGAGTGTAAATCCAGTTTCTGTTACTCCATCTTTGCCAGAAGCCACTGGTGAATAATTTAATCTTTAATCTCTTTTACTTATACTAAATATCTATACACTGAAGTCCAGAAAAGTCAGTCCTACTGATTAAAGCCAAGAAAGCCAGAGAAGTAGGCTTCCGTTAGACCAGTAATATCAGCTCTACCCGTAATCTGGAGATAAATAGAATTTCCTAGCTATGATCTCCCTTCTCTTGTGAAAGGAGTCTATCACAAAAACGGCTGAAGTTATTTGACCTTACTGAGGGTAGAGACCCTAAGTAATGCAAATTTAGATCTTCAGCATTCATAAAGGTGTATTTTTTATTAGGCAAAACTAATTATAATAATCCTATCATATAATCACCATAGTAAGAGTAGCTACACACTGAGCACTTTTACATACATGATCTTATTCAAACTTCACAACAGTAACTTTAGGTATGCATCATTCTTATTCTTACTGATAGAGAAGTTGAGGTTTAGAAAGATTAAATAACTTCCACAATAATGCCACCAACTAGTGAGTGGAAGAAACAGAATTTAAGGAATATCTAACCTCTCAACCTCTGTATAATTCTTGTTTTATAAAGTTTTTCAAAACAACAGGCTTTCTTGCTGAAAGGCTAGCCTCAGACTGTTAGTGCACAGGTACCTACTCACCCTGAATTTAAGATTCCCACGTACCAAAATGGAAGACTTCCACCAAAGTACTGACTATTACTTTATACTTACTTGTTTCACATCACATGTGCACTGGCGAAGAAATCGGTGCTTGATGATATCATAAAATATTTTGTGCAGTTTGGTCCCAAACTCCTGTGTATCAGCTGCCTAAAATAGACCCGGAGGTAGAAGGTGCTGAGTTCCAGTGCTGGAAACCAGGAGCAAAGTACTCACAGGAAGTTTAAATGGTGAGAGAACGAGATGGATGGGACACTGGCATCCCCTACATTGCATTTAGCATGTCCTTCATTTCAGTGGATTCAAAAGAGGAGAAAAATTGCCCAGGATATTTGGCAAGAGACAGGTAGTGATGGCTGTCACATGTATTCTCATTTCAGTCACCTCAGCAAGATCCTTCAAATAAGGTCTTTTTTCTCCTACATTAACAGTGGATAAATATCCCAAGACGCATCTGTTCATGAAGGAGTTACATATGTGTTCTTCTGTAAAACAAATTCTGAGAAAGCTAGGCTCCACTGACTGACTGAAGCTGGTATGAGAGCTCTTCAAACCTTTCAGGGCAAAGAGGAACCAAAGAGTACAGTCTGCACCCATGGAGATGGGTTAACAGCCTTTGACACTTTAGAATTGTAGGATATTAGAGCTGAAGGGGGCCAGAGTTACCACCTAATACAATGTACTAATTTTATAGATAAGAAAAGTAAAATTTAAAAAGAAGTGACCCACCCAAGATCTCACAGGTAGAACAAAAATTAGGGCTTCTTTTCACTATTTTGTGACCCAGAAAGGTAAACCTATAATCAAATGTATTAATTGATAAAGATTTTGTAGGATTTGACCCAGTAACTATTTTTACAGAAATTTATTCTGGAAAATAATTTAAAATAAGCGATATATAACACGAGGTATCCAATGAAATACTGTTTATATCCGTAGAAAGAATGTTATCAATTTAAATGTCTGACATCTGAGGAATAGTTTATAAAATTAGATTAAAACAATGCAAAGGAATATTGGTTAACTAAAACTAAATCTAAGACTGTTCAAACAAGTAAAACGTCAATTTACATATCAAAACAAGAGGCTTTAGTTATGACTATATATGTAGCACACAAAAATTAAAATTATAGTGCTAAAATTTATTAGGTACTACATATTTACATTTTTCCTGTGTCATACTATCTTTTCAAGTTAAAAAGACTACATAAAAATGGCTGATAAAATGAGACAACCCTGAAATTCCAGTTACTCAGGAAGCTGAAGCAGGAGAATCACAAATTTGAGATCAGCCTAGCAACACAATGTAGCAAGACTTTGTCTCAAAAAAAAGTGGTGTACACCTATAATCCCAGCAATTGGGAGGCTGAGGCAAGAGGACTGCTACAAATTTGAGGCCAGCCTGGACTACATAGTGAGTTCAAGATCAGCCTAAGCTACAAAGCAAGGCCCTGTCTCAACAAAACAACACAAAAAACAAACAAACAAAAAGGTATGATGGGACTGGGAATTTAGCTCACTGGTCTCTACCCTTGCCTAAAATGTGCAAGGTCCTGGGTTCAATCCCCAGCACCACAAAAATACAACCCAAGATTACATAAAAATAAACTACCATGTTACCCACTGATAATATTAAATGTTCAGCATATACTCTTAAAAGGAAGGAAAGAAACTAGCATTTACTGAGAACCTATTATGTACTGCACACTTTCACATGGTCTCAAGCTGCTTGGGCTCCTATAACAAATTATCATAGACCAGGAGTTTGTTTTGTTTTTTTTTTTCTGGTACTGGGAATCGAACTCACGACCTCACGCTTGCCAGGCAGGTACTGTGCCACTGAACTAAATCTCCAGCCCCAGACCAGGAGTTTTATATAATAGAAATTTATTTCTCACAGTTCTGGAAGATGGAAATCTAAGATTAGTGTACTGAGATGGCTGAATTCTTCAGAGTTGCAGACTATTTATTTTTCCTTGTGCCTTCACAATGCAGAAGAGGCAAGGGTTTTCTGAGGACCCCTTTTATTAAAGATAATAATCTCATTAATACAGACTAAAGCCTAACAACCTATCTATCTCCCCAAAGCTCAGTACCTCTTAAATCCATAATCCTGGATTTTGATATGTGAAGTTTGAGGAGGTATATACTCACCATCATCCTGTGAGTATCTATTATTTCTTCTAATTTATAGACAAGGCTCAGAGAAGTTCAATATAGGCCTAAGTCCACATAGCAAGTTAAGTAAATGAGTCAGGACTTGAACTCAACCCTCTGATTCCAAAACCTTCTCCACCATTCCATACTGCAACATACATGGGATTGCTCAGTCCTTATGATTGCTCAGTTATTTCCAAAGTGTTCTGTCACCATTAGGTAGCAAAGTATTCTTCAACAAGGAATTGAAAATCATGGATCAAATCCTAGCACATTCTAGCACATCTGTGTGACCTAGCAATCCTACCACATCTGTGTGACCTAAAGAAGTAGAAATTATAAATAACTTTTTTTATTTATGAAATGGTACACATTAGAATTCATTCTACAAATAGTTCTTAAAACACTTAGACCTCTGTTATGTATGGTCACAACAGAAGCAGTGAAATAGTGTTTGTAAAAGCACTGTACACATTACAGAGATAGATAGGATGTTGTTAAAACCCTGGCAATTTTAAGCATCCTCAGTCTTCTACTTGCCTGAAGGGCCTGGAGACATGTCCTTCGGAAGCTGCCACTTGTGCTCCCAGTCACCACAGTCATGATGGAATTCACAGCCACTGAGAGCGAAGCCTGCAGTTTCTGATGAGCCTAGGAAACACAAGGAGACACATTAACCCCAAACTGCTGGCTCAGAAAATCCCAAAGGGAGCAAAGATTTCAGTCACAGCAGGATGTCTCCGAACAACAATACTCATTGAAATCATGGCATATCTTTGTCACGACCTGTAGGAATTACAATAAGATTTTAAAATGCTCTCTCCTCCTATAGAGATGACTTATTGACAGATACATTCAGAAAACATAAGCAATACGAGACATTGGGCAATAAAACAGATACACTTCCTAATTTAAAAAAAAAGCTTAAAGTTTTGCTATCTTAGAATGGCTTTTTTCCTTTAAAAGGGGACCATATATAGTAGGAAATGTGTTACCAAAAGTACACAGGATAAGCAGGACCAACTGGTGCATACCTGTAATGCTAGCATTGAGGGAAGCTGAGGCAGGAGGATTATAAATTTCAGCCCAGTTTGGGCTACATACCAAGTAAGACCCTGTCTCAAAACAAAGGACAAAAAGGGCTGGGATGTAGCTCAGTGGGAGAGCACCCCTGTGTTTGATCCCTAATACTGCAAAAACAAAACAAAAGTACACAGGATGGAGGAATTCACAAAGTTATGTAAGAAAAAAACGTGGTATTACAAGCTGAGCATGGTGGTACATTCCCTAGTAATCCCAGCACTACGGAGGCTGAGGCAGGAGGATCACTGAAAGTTCCAAAGGCCAGGCTGGGCTATGCGGTGAGTTCAAGCCAGCCTGAACTACATAGGAAGACACTTATCTCGAAAGAATAAAATATGGTATTATAAAGAATTAGGAAGATGGGGGAAGAATGTAAGGTTTAGTGAAGCATCAGTTCACTAAAGATGTGTGAGACAGAGTGATATACAGATAAAGAAGAAACACTGTATCAGTCATTTTCCTATATAATTTCTGTCCCTGTTTACTCAAACTCACCCAGCAGGAGGTAAGAAAAAGCTGACTACAGTGACCCACCAAAGTGAAAGCCTGAGTTTCTAGGCTGAATGTAGTATTACATCACCCCAGGTAGCAGAAAAAACAGGATGAGGCTTTCAGGGAAGAGAGGATTCTGAGGCCCTGTAACTATTAATCTCTTTTTCTTAGAAAATAGGAGAAAAGGTTAGAAGTGGTGGCACATGCCTATAATCCCAGAACTAGAGAGGCTGAGGCAGGAGAATCATTGTAAGTTTGAGGCCAGCCTGGGCTACATAGTGAGTTCAAGGCCTGACTAAATTACATAGCGAGATCATGTCTCAAAAAAAAAAAAGAGAGAGAGAGAAAAGAGGTTGTAAATTTCTTATTACCTTGACAGCCTGGTCATGCTGCTCCAAGATCTGGTCCAGAGTGGAGTGAACAGAATCTTGTACTGCACTGTGGCTCTCCATGAGGATAGCACTGAGATGAGCTGTGAGCAAAGTATGGACTCCTAAGGGGACAGAAAATGTCGATAAACTTGAAGGACAATGACTACTTCAAGAATGCTGTTCATGTGCTCTAAGTCTGGGATGGAATAACAGAAGATGCCCTTTAGAAGAAGCTGTTTCTATCTACTGACAAATAATTACTTTTTCAGACAACTGCCTCTTCAGCAACTTATAAACCCACCCAATTCTCATTTGCAAATAAAAGAAAGCTCAGGAAATTTTAAGTGAAGAATTACACTATTTTTGAAGAAATGAATGAGTGATCCTGCTTAATTTGTGCTATAAACAATAATATACCTCCGGAGAGTGTCTAAACTGCCTCCTTTCCTGTTTGAGAATCACTATTGAGCAAGTCACTGTTACCAGAGTGTGTCCTTTTTATTAGATGTACTATGGTTAAAAAAAAAAAAAAAAAAAAAAAGGTTCTGGGCGTGCTGGTGCACTCCACACACCTATAATCCCAGCACTCAGGAGGCTGAGGCAGGAGGATTGATGTAAATTTGAGGCCAACCTGTTCAAGACCAGCCTGAACTGCATAGTGAGACCCTGTCTCAAAAAGACAAAAAAAGCCCCCCAAAACGGTTAAAATTTACAAAGATAACTCTCAGAACTGTTCATATACAGTCTTTTAAATGGATTAATGATCTGAGCAACCCTGCTTAGCATCACTCAGAAAAGCTAATGTGTAAGAGCAACAGCCAAAAATGTGTCATCAAGGCTTCATGTGATGGCACACACAGAGGCTGAGGCAGGAGGATCGCTGCCAGTTCAAGGCCAGCCTGGGCTACATAGTTATTTCAAGGCCAGCCTGAACTAGTAGCGAGGTTCTGTCTC